GCAACTGGATAAGAAGCAACGCAGCTTGTTGAGAAAGGCGCTGACTTACATTCATTAAATTTGCTTCTAAGCATGAATAGAGGGCAACAGAAATAAGACCGATTAATAGTGGTCCCATAAAATGTTAAAAGAATTTGATAATCTTTTAAGATCAAGTGTTAAGGACTCCCAGCAGACTCTAGGATGTAAAAGAAGGAATTTCTCATAAAAATTACATCAGACAATAATCACACCCTGGAGAAATGAGGAAATGGAGATTCACACTTCCTGGTGGTGGGAGTGTATATTGGTACAATCCAGAGATCTGACTTTTTTACATAAACTTTAAAGGAACTCTAGTGTGCACAAGGATGCTTATTGAATCCCTGTAGTTTTATAAATTAGACATAACTTAAATGTCTATCAAAAGGTGCATGGATAGTGATATCATCATGCAATAGAATACTATTTTTGATATTTAAAAGAATAAATCATGTTTTAATATATAAATAGGAGTGAACCTCAAAAATATAATTGTCCATTAAAATCTCGTTAGTTATCCAGGTGTGGTGGCACACTCCTATAATCCCAACACTTGGGAGGCTGAGGCAGGAGGATTGCTTCAAGTTCAGGGCCAACCTGGGCTATAAAGTGATTTCAAGGCAAGCCTGAACCGCAGAGTGAGATCCTGTCTCAAAAAGACAAAAAATTAAAATCTACTAATTAATACCCACAGAAGACACTAAAAAACCTTGTTGTGCTATTTGCTGTATCTACATTAATATTTAGCAAACACATTAGTAATTGAAGCACAAAAATATATCTGGGGACTCCTACTTCAAGAAAGAGGGAAAGATTAAAAATGGGTATAAAATGGCATCAGAACTATGTGATTTGTTAAACTATTAAGTTTCTCAACCTCTGCACCATGGACCTCTGGGGTCAGATACATTTGTTTGGGAGGACCATTATGCTAACACCTTCCCTGGCCTCCACCCCACAATTTCCAATAGGATCTTCCCAAGTTACAACCATCAGAACTGCCTCTGTACATTGCCAAGTTGTCCCAAGAGTGAAGGGAATTGCCTTGGTTGAGAACTACCACCGTTTTAATAGTTTATTTCTTTACACTTTTCCTTATGTCTTATTTACATATACTTTTATATTTGAGGTATCTTATAAAAAACAGGTATAGAGGAAGGGAGAACAGAATACGCTTTCTGTTATATTGTTAGTCAACAATATAAGATGTGATGTGCTGGCATTCAGACATTAAGATAAATAAAATAGGCCCCTGTCCCCATGAATGCCACGTTTGGTCAGACAGTGTAGTATGGAAAAGTCCAGTGGCCTTGGACTGGGACAGACCAAAATATAAGGATGATCAGAGGATGGCTGTGAGGACAGATCTAGGACAGGTCTAAGGACAGAGCTAAGGCCAGACACTGACTCTGGCCTGCTTTTATTAGGAGACTCTCAGTTTTCTCATATCTAAGATGAAAGTTTTTCTTAACATAAGATTTTACCATCAGGGGCTCTGCCTGAAACACACTAAACAGGCACCAAAGAGAAGTTATTACACCACTTATTATGATTTTCATTATTACTTGAAATACCTAATGGACCATGTAAGATAGTGTTGCTGATACCTTCCCTACCCGCTTCTTTATTTCTCTGCCTTTCCATCCATGAGCCCAAGAAAAGCAGTTTGCTCATAGGAACTTCTGTCAGATCCTACAACCTCTCCCCAGCTCATAGGCACCATGCATTTTGCAGTCACAGAAGACTCTCTCATGGTGAAGCAAAGGGAGAGAGGGAAGAGACAAATAACATCACAAAACAGCCCCCAGACCTGTGGTCAGAAGTTAGTATCTGATGAACTCTTGTGCATACACTTAGAATTTCATGTGAAACCCAAACTCCTTTATGAAACCCAAACTCTTCCTTTTTTTTTTTCACTCTTTGTGCAGCCTAGATTTTCCTGAACTCATCTGTAGGCTCTATAGAGTGATTTGTGACTGCCCTACCCTTGGGGAGGCCCCACAGTGCTTTCCTTTAAGAACACTTAAAGGAAAGCAAGGTTGCATGAAGCCAGGTTTTCGTGTTGGGGAACATGCCTTGAAATCTTAGGCAATGTTGTTTAGCATTTGAGCAGCCTGCCTTGAGGATATTCCTGTGCTAATTGATTTTCTATAAGAATGTGCAAGTTGTGTTATATTCTTATAATACAGTTTTTTAAAGAACCAGAGGTTTAGTCTCCATTATATCTTGTTGACTATTCTTAACAAGCCAGTACAGTTTTTGAAAGAACCAGAGGTTTAGTCTCCATTATATCTTGTTGACTATCCTTAACAAGCCAGCTCTGATTCATATTGCTAAATACAGTACTGAATATACTGGTTAGAGTCCACTATCTCACACATCATTTTGATGCCAAATAACTACGGTGGGCTTCAAGAGAGTTGAAGGAGCAGCACATTCATATTGCGACCAAACAGTGTTGAGTTGAAGGAATCCTCTCAACTGAACCTGGGGAATGCATGAACCACTATGAACAGCTGTGACTTGGCTAACCAGGGTTCAAATATAGGCAGTACATGTTGGTGAAAGAATGAGCAAGAATTAAGGCAAAGTGATGGACTGTACAATGATAGAGAAGAGAAAAACTATTCTGGTTTGATCCACAACATTGTCTTCAGAGGATCACAAAATTACTTAGTGTTTATTCCCTGAACAATTCACACCACAAAGAGTTGCACCTAAAATGTTTCTTGCCCTTGGTCTAACCCGGGTCTTTCAAAATACCAATGAGCAAAACCCTAATTATGGAGTATCCAGGATTAGTTGCTGATGATGGGGAAATGTTTATGTTCTAGAAATGGTTTAAGCCTATTTTGGTTTAAATATGCAGTGTTCCCCCACATGGTCATGTATTGAAGACTTGGTTCTCACTGCAGCAAGGTTCAGAGGTGAATGGATCTTGAGAGCACTAATCTCATCAATACAGTAAACTTTTGATGTGCTCATGGTGAATGGGCTATTTGGACCTGGGGCCATTTTGGAGGGAGTAGGACACTAGGATGCTCCTTTGAAGGGAATATCTTGTCCCTGGTCCTTGCCTTTCTGCTCTCCCCTTCTTTTCTGTTTCCTGGTTGCTGTATAATCAACTCTGCCCTCCCACAGCCTCCTGAAGGGATGTTCTGGTTCACCTCAGCCCCACAGCAACAGAACCGGCTGACAGCTGACTGAAACTGTGAGCCAAAATACCTTTTTCCTCCTTTAAGTTGTTTAACTCAGAGATTTTGTCACAGCAATGGAAAGTCAACTAATACATGGAATAAAGATGCTATAGTGTTAGCTCATCATATGGTGTCACTAGTGTGACTTGAATGTGTCACCTTACATTCAGTTCTGCTTATTTACATATTTAGTCGCACATCATCATTGCTTTGTGTCACTCTGGGAGGCATAAGACCTAAGATGTACCTTCACCAACCTCCCCCTCCATGCCAGCTTATGGGTCTCCAGGACTGCCTCTGATTTAATAGATTAATTTAACTCATGGAATTGTGTCTAGGGTTCTTTTCATTCTTGAAACATGGAGTATTGCATGGGCTAAAGCTAAAAGGCTTTGAGAACAATCTGTATTGCTGCTGAATAATTACACTCACTGGGCTTTATCTGGGCTGCACATGCCCTCAATATGCTTTTTAAAACATTAGAACTCATTAAAAGAGTTCTAAAAATGAATAAGGCAATAGAAGAAAAGAAACACCTTAATTACTATTCACATAACTTATTAAAATTTCAAGCTGGTTTATTAGTGTACTGTAAATCAAAATTAATTATAAATATCAGTACTTATGACATAATCATAATTATGTTTTAATCTTCACTGCTTTAACATAACTGAGGTACAAGGAAATACTTCTAAGTACTACCTGACTATATTAATAGGATATTTAGAGGCAAACTGTTGTAATGCATACAATTTTGTTCACAAGGAATTCTCTGACAGCTCTCTTGTGACAATTAATAATCTAATACCAACACAGCTTGAAATGGTTTAACAAAGTACTTACCAGAATTGAAAATGAGCACCTATGAAGAAGTGATGTGATCTTAAAGAAACACAACTTTCCAAGTTATTGTGTTAGAGTGAATGGTTTTTAAAGGTTAAATTCACTCAAGTATACAAAATGTTCTACTTATGTGGAATTTGCAGTGACTGGAATTCTGTAACCTGTCAGATAACAATTGAGGCAGTGCAAATCATGGTGTTTTGCTGCGGGAAGGAACTTTTGAGGTTGCAGTGTGAAAATAAGACTCTTCTATAGAGGTTGTGTCCAAGTTCCACCCATAGAGAAGTCTTTCAGTTGTACTCTAAGATACAACTGATGGGCAATGAGGAGGCTGCAAGCCTATACCTAGAATTTCATTGCTATTAACTATTGTTTGGGGCTTTGATGGAGATTTTATACATTTATTCTTCTCAAATTTCTTGTTGATAAAAAATAAGTTTTGTATGTGAATATAGATTATCATCATCATGACAAAAATACTAGAAAATAAGGAAAGAATCATCATGGAACCAGTGCCTAGCGGAGTAAGGTGTTTGCATACATGGGAATGGGAAATGACTTAAGCCTAAGGTTGCTATGGAATAACAACCAAAGCAAATGCCAAGTGGATAGAGGCAGTGAGTTTTCCATCACTGGATGTGTTCTGCTAGATAATGACCCTCAACTTGTCAAGATGCTACGTAGATTACTTAGGAATAAACTGAGGATTCATCTGTACTTCTAAGTTCCCTTCTAACTCTGAGATTCCATGAGTTTTTGAAGGGAAATTAAACAAAATAGATGTGAAAAGGTAAGGAGGCTTTCAGAAGAAAAGCAAAATAATACAAAAGACAAATTCTCCTTACTTTGTACTTTTTGTAGAAAATACAATTATTTTGGGAGTATATCAATAGAAAGAGAGGATTCTTACTTGAGAGCTGAGTTTCTATCACATCTTACCAGGAGGTGTCCAGAAAAGAAGTGTGTGATATGTGTAGGCTCCTAAAAGGTCAGAGAGTCGGGTAGGTTTTGAACACCTTCTGAGGAGATTGTGCACTGAAGGGTTGCTTCCAGTATCCATCATATCTGCAATGGGGAGTTAAAATACAAGATTTATTGCACCAACCAGTGGTAAAATAAGTAGGAGCATTAATAAGATACGGAAACTTAATGCATAATTATTCTATTTCTCAAATCCTTGCTCCAAAGGGTTATTTTAATGTTTTAGGATGATACCTACATCTACATTGTGATCATTAGAAACACACATATTAATTAATTTCAAGCATCACAGGTTGAAATCTCCATGTGTAAGGAAATTCAGTCATTTAATATGCTAGACACCCCTAGTAACTTTACAACAAATTTCTGGTAAAAAGCCCAGCATGAGCAAAGTACAGATCAGCACTTCCCAGCAAGTGCACAACATGCATGATTTAAGCAGGGGTAGAAACAAGTGTTGTGCCACTGGAAGCTGATACAATTTGAGACAATTTTCAAAAGAAAATGAATAAATAACTGTGGATGCAAACATAGATATAGGACCTGGGATAGAACCCATGCAAGTGAAAGTTCCTAAAGTATAAGCTTAATCAGCATCTCATTCAAGTCACCTTTGGGTGGCAGGTGTGCTAAGAAACTGACCAACTCATTTTTTGAGGTAACTTGGCAGACCCACCTAAGATGCTCGGAGCCCCCAGATTTTTCCCCATCCAGCTCCATCTATGGGTCTATTTACACCAGTAAGATCACACTTTCATTGCATGTAATACTAGGAAAAAGTTGGGGAAGCCTTGTCCCTAGTAACTTGAAGCTTATTCTACTTTCTGTCACTGCAAACACATTATCTTATATTACTTTCAGCTAGAACTGGAGGGGATGTCAGAATACACTTCATGTTTTCTAACTCTCTGAGGAACTTTAAATCTCTTACCCAATTTGTACCTCAAAATAACTCTGGAAGGTAAAACAGGTTTTATTATCCTTGTTTGACAGGGAGAGCAAACTGAGAAATATTATTTTTGTCATTTTTAAATGAATGTACCTCTCTTTCTCTCTCCTTTTTGTAATCTCCTGCCCCTCTTCTCCACCTCCACCAGAAAAAAAATCAAATGAAACATTCATCATTTCCCAGGAGCAGTTTTAATGTGACAGCCATGCTTGTGCCACAATGGCTAACAGTAGGAGCCTGCTTACCTCTGCAGAGGAATCCCAATGCTATTTGGGGTTATTTGGTGAAGATTCCATAGCACTAAGCATTGAAAAAGAAACAAAAAAATGCGTAGATACTCTTGTTTTGAACACGTTACTTCTAAAATGCTCATTCATCAAAAGTCCTGCAAAATTACCAGGTACTTATCATTACCAAGGGAATAGTACAGAGGAATATGTCCAATATTTTCTGTGGCAAATCCCACATGAAAGTTATCATGGCTTAATTAAAAGATGTTGATCTATTTGTGTTAAAAAGTTATATATACCCCCACCGGAGCATAAAAGAGGTCCAGTATAGTCTTCTTTCTATGAATACAGGTAAGGAAGCTGAGTTAAATGTCTGAGTTGAAATAAAGAGCTTCTGCCCTACTTATTGAAATAAAATATTCATCGGTCCAAAGTTGCAGACAATTAATTACAAAAGAGTGTGTATAACGAGCACTTCTTTTCCTACTAGTTTGAACTCTCCACAAGGAACATAGACACCAATCTATAGTAGGTATGTTCTTGGTTGAATTATCAAATGAATATATTAACTACAGTGAATAAATTACTATGTAATTTGGTGCAGATTTTGTTATTGGTGGGATTTTGGTTTCCGTATTAACTTCTAGCCTACCAGAAACCACTACTCATTATAATATTATTCACAAGTTGGCTCATGTGTGCAAATCTAAGCCAGCCACCTGGAGAGTATCACCTAACACATTTGTCTGGCCAGTCAACACCTGAGAACTTTCACCTACACTGTTTCACTAGCTACTTTGACAGTAGGTATTTTTGTTCTCATTTTGGGAGTAAATATATGAGCTCACCTAGTGAGGTTGAGTTACTCATATGCTTTACTGAGAATGCCATTTTCAGTCCATAGGTATTGATGCTCAGCACAATAACTGCCTCTAGCGTCAGAGGAAAAGAAGGCCTGAGCAAATGGCATGCCTACCTTAGACTCTGAAGAAGTGATAAGAAGGTGTGCCACATTTTGCTGAACTTCATTTATGATTACACATTAGTCACTCCATGCTTTGAACTCTCCAGTTGCTGGTGGAAAGGAACCAACTCTTTGCTCCTCCAGAGCTAGAACTAAGCACAACATGGGAGCTCAGTGGGCCTGAGCAAATGGCATGCCTACCTTAGACTCTGAAGAAGTGATAAGAAGGTGTGCCACATTTTGCTGAACTTCATTTATGATTACACATTAGTCACTCCATGCTTTGAACTCTCCAGTTGCTGGTGGAAAGGAACCAACTCTTTGCTCCTCCAGAGCTAGACCTAAGCACAACATGGGAGCTCAGTGAGGGTCACTCATTGCATTGATCCAGCAATGTGGCCTTTCTTGAACTAGAAGGCTAAGTTCATCATGCTGTAATGGTAACAGCAATAATAGTAACAAAACTCAGAAAATGTTTGGCTTCTGTGATCCAAGGTTAAATCTAAGACCTTTAAATTCTCCACCAGGTATGGTCTTACCTCCTCAGTAGAACCAGAAAATATGAATGGCATTCTTTCTTGTACTCTGTGTGTGTGTGTGAGTGTGTGTGTGTGTCTTTCTCTCTCTCTCTCTCTCCCTCCCCTATCACTTAAAAATAATATTTGAATGCTGTTTCTTCTCATGCATCTTCAAGATTTATTTATGAGTCACAGCTGAATGCCCTATGTGTTGTATTTATGTGAACAAACACACATGAAAAAATAAAAAGAACCAGTTCCATTATCTAGATAGATGTGTGTTTGTCAGCATTGGAGAGAATCTCCATCCTGGATGGCATAAGTATTCAGCCACTCTTTTTAAAACATCAGTCAGGCATTGCAAGACATATAACCACAACATAAGCAATGACCTTTAGATGTGTCTTCACTCCTGTTATCTACACACTGTGAAATAGAAACAAGTTGATATTGGAAATCTCTGTAATATCACTTTAGAAGCTATTTATTTCAGATGTATTATGATAGGTGCACCAGCCATAAATTTATTAACCATAATAATATATTAAAATGTTATTCAAAGAAATTCTAACACTCCTCTCACTCCCACACCATGCCTAACACACATGCACACACATATGCACACATACACACATACCCTCTCTCTCTCTCTCTCGCTCGCTCTCTCTCATGAAAAGAATCACACAGCTCTTTTCTTCCCCTCCAATAAAGGTCCCTATAGTCACTTAAAATATTTATAACATTTTTTATTAAATTTCTAAAGCTTATCAGGTATATAGTATCTTCAAGGGACATGGTTTTCACAGGAGCTATATAAGCCTTGTAATCTTTCAAATGACTCAGCCACAATGATTAATTTACTCTTTCTTTAGCTAAAGGACAAATGGCACTTAGAACAAAATAGGCTTTATTCTGGGCATACATTTTCCTGGGGAGCTTTCTTTAGATGTAGGTCACATTACATCAGTGCACCAGCCAAACTCAATTCTCGCTGGTCCTTCTGTCAACACAAAATGGCTCTGGTGCTGGAGAAACATGGTTAATGACACCCCACACAAAAGAAATAGTAAGACATTTAAGATATGAAATTTTGCAATTAATCAAGCTTGTGCCAGTGAGTATTTTCATATCATTCATTTTTTGTAAAACAAAATCCATTGACCATAAAAAGTGCTACACCTCCCCCACAACAGAAATCACACCACAAGTTTCCTTCTAACAACCGGAACATTTTATAACACACAGTGTAAGTTGTGATTGATCCTCCTTGCACTAAAACCATAACAGGGTCAAAATGTGTTCAATTTTCTATAGCATAAACACACAAAATGATGATCTCATTTAATCAACAATTAGTTTCCTGTTGCTGCTGTAATGAACTGTCCAAATTTGCAGTGGTTTAAATAGAAAAAAAAAATAGCCTCTCGTACTTCGGAAGTCATGAGTCAAAAGTGAGCCTCATGAATAGAACAAGGATGTTATCCAGGTGCTCCTAGCGGTTCTAAAGGGAGAACCTATTTCCTTTCCTGTTCCTCCCTCTAGTAACCACCACTACTCCTTCATTTGTGGCCTTTCCCTTCATTTTCCCAGCACATCATTCTAATCTGTTTCTCTTATCAAATCTCCTTCTGCCTCTTTCTTATAAATACGCTTGTGATTACATTTCAGTCCTCCCCAAATAATCCAGGTTAATCTCCCCCTTTTAAGATTCTTAACTTAATCACACCTGCCAAATCCCTGTTGCCATATAAATGAACACTCATGGGCTCCAAGGATTAGGTCTTAGCTATCTTAGCAGACCATTATTTGACCGACCACATCAATTAATTAAGTTGTTTGTCAAAATAAAAGAGAAGTAGAATTGACTTTCATTTTAAAGTTAGACATTATGCAGAAAGGAGGTATATATAATGGAAGTCATAATGTGCAAAGAATGAAAAACCAACCTGTGACATCAAGTTCAATACCACACATAGTATTTTAAGTAGTTTCTTGAAAATGAATAGGAATTTCTGTGGTGAAATCAAGGGCTTGAAAGCAGAAGTGAGATATCAATCAGGGGTTTTGGTTGCAAGAAACAAGGTCCAACTATGGATCATTCCAAGAGAAAAATTCATTAACGGATAAATGAATCACAGCGAAGCTAGAGAGTTCAACTTCAGCTCTGGACAGGAACAAGAAAACTCGATGTAGAGAGTCATGACTTAGTTTACCACACAGGAACACTTTGATTCATATGTTCCTCAATTTTTGCAGAAGCTATTTGAAATTTTCTTTATGTGCAAAGTGAATAGCATAAGAGCACTAAATGCGTAAAATTATCATGAGGATTAAGAGAGATGTTATATGTGCAATAATTAGCAGCAAGCAGAGCCTAACACATACTGTTGAAAATAGACTGTAGAAATCACCAACCCTTATTA